GGCCTCCGATGTGGGTATCAGAGGTTTTGGTCCTCTTGGTCGGACCTACAGCGAACTGAACCTGCTCTAGCTACCGCTTCTCCCGAAGCTCCAACTCAATCTCCCGCTCGCGAGCCTTCTCGATCATGTCAATTAGGGTTTTACACCCCAAGAAACTCATGAACTCCCTAATATCATCCCTCAACATAGCATGATATCTCGTCTTCCTCATCTCCTCATCCGCAACATACTCGGAACCAATAGCGACCTCTCCCTAAATTTGGCGGTGATCTCCGCCACAGTCTCCGAAGTCTGGCGAAGGTCCTGAAACTCCGTCGACAGTTGTTGCACCTCTATGGCTAGTGCAAACTTCCTCTGGAATCTCTGAAAAAAGTCCTCCTATGTCATCTCTACCACTCCTGCTCTCCCCACGGCTCAGGTAGCCTCCTCCCAGCAGTCCCGCGCCCTGTCCCTCAACAAGCAGGATGTGAATCCTACCTTTTCCCCTTAGGGCAAAACCTTGTTTGCTGAGCATTCTCCATGTCAGCGATCCAACGTCGACTAGGTATGGGGTCCTTAACCCTAATGAAATCAGGCACTCCGCATGCCTTGAACTCCCGAAAAGAGGGAGCTCGATCCTTGAACTGACTCGCGACAATCTCAGCTCAAAATGACCTGAGCCGCTGCTCCATGATCTCCATAATCCCCTCGTTGACGGTATCGAAAATCACCGGGCTAGCATCAAGGATGCCACAAGTAACCTCGGTTGCGATAAGCACACACAGTCTTTCATCAATCGGTTCAGTGCCTGAACCTGAACCTTCGCGAGTAGTCATCACCATCCTCAACCTGAAAATACAACATAAAAACAATCAATCAAAAGATTTGAGGGGACTCTTTGACACCAGCCTCCTTAGAGATTCCAGACCAGCCCTCTCCTCAGGTACAGGTCCTATGTTTCCAATAGTATGGGCCCAATACTACCTTCCACATATACCTGTACCATCCCCAAGGCCAATCTAATTCCTGTAAGTTACCACAATACAACCATAATAACCTATGCTACACAACATACACATTATAGACTCTTATAGATAACCCTCAACTTCTACACTTGCAGTACTAAGTACCTAAATCAACACCACTGGTTGCCCTATGCATGAAAGTTGTACACAATATAGAATCACATAGACTGTCGAATGAGGATTCTACCCTATATCCATAACCAAACATGAAATAGAAAATGATGCAAAAGCAATCATTCTAGGGCTATGTAGTCCTAAGCATATACAACTTTGAAAGCATACACATAGCAAACAACAAAGCCGATATCAATTCCAAGTAATATACAACATCAATTCTATCGATCTACTAGGCATCACCCATTCCTGCAATTCTATCAGATGATTCCTGAAGATATCCTCAACCCTAGTCTAGCATGCAATTCACATATTAGGCATACTAATCATAACACATAGGTATCGTTAATTTGGGAAACAGTTACTTGAGCTCGGCCGATTGCACACATCACACTCCCCTCTTTCTTTAAAGAATATTTTTCAAGGTTTTCAGTTCTTTTATTATGAAAAGATTATAATTTCCTCAGTTTGTGTTCTGACACACCCGGAGGTATGCCCAAATCCCTCAAACCAAGTCTCTGATACCAACATGTAACAACCCAAAAACCAGGATCAAAATTTTCATTTTTAATCAAACACAAAAGTTATAATTGTCACATTGTTCTAAAACCATTCAATAATAATTATTGTCAAATCATCAGAGTATAATGTCATAACACGAAAAAGTAATGAGGGGTGAATGATGCACCATCAATCCGGGCCTTTCCCCTTAGTACCGGAAGTACCTGAAACCACAAATATAAAATGTAAACAAAAGCTTAGTGAGTTGCCCAATCATATCACATACTAAAAGAACACATGTAAGTGCCATGGGTACCCCCATGGTATTTTCCACACAATGTCGGGGGCCAAATCTCGGTCTTATATATGAGTGTCATGCACTACCTCCATGGTCTTTCCTTGCGATGCCGAGGTCCAAATCACGGCCTTACACTCAAGTGCCATGGGCTACCTCCATGGTCTTCCATACCATTATCATAAAAGTCAACAACATTCTACAAAATAAGAAATGGGCCGACATTGATGCCTTCGACCCATGAACCTGGTGCGAAGACTCACCTCAACTGCTAAAATCCCAAACCAACACTCAGGCTGCTATGTTGGATAAACTCTCGTGCTAACTAAACAATAAGGTCCCAAAACAATTGGCTCAAAATCCAGACTAAGACTTACAACGTAAGACTAATATCCAAAGTCAGATGGGCCAAACTAGAACTAAAGCCCAATAAAATCCTAGGCCCCAACCAAGGATCAAATAAGGCCCACAATGAGTCCAACAGCTGGAGTGGCCCATCGGAAAAACATTCAAGGCCCAAACCCATCAAACAAGCCCATCGATTTGGCCCAATGCAAAAATCCAACTGATTTGGGCCGTATGCGCAACGTACAAGGTTGAAGCGGGAATCGCGACTAACTGTGGCAGTACGTGCGACGTATAGGAAGTACGCACGGCGTACGCAGCCCACATGCAAGACATGAAAAAAGTGACTTAATCACTTAAGACCAAACGACTAAAACTCATATCTGGAACCTTTATGACCATTAAGGCCATAAAGTTGCAAACTTTATGCCTGTGGGTTGATACAAAGAGCGCAAACTCTAAAACCTAGCTTATCACACCCAAACCTACACTCTAGCACATGAATGGGGACTCAACAAGGTTCAACCTTGCACCTTTATGATATAAAACGACTAGAAACATCAGAAAATACAACTTGGAGGCTTAGGAGTAGCACATACTCACCAAGATTAAACTTTAGGGACAAAAAGGAGGAAACATGAGTCAAAATGGAACTTAAAGAAACACAACCAAAGCTGGAGCTTTATACCTTCTAGTGGTGCAAAATGAAAAGGAGATGCTAGATCCAAACTCTTGAGGGAAAAACTTCCTTCTTGGGCAACCTTCTTCACAACCAAAAGCACACACTATCATTCAAAAAGCTCCAAAAATCTCAAAATGCACTAGGGTTTGCTAAGAGGGTCGAGAAAGGGAATGAAGGCTGAGGTAAGGGAGGGTCTTGGGCCATAATGAGGTTTAAATAGTGCACAAACCCTATTCTGTCTGAGCTACGTACACCCTGCATACAGTAGTACGCGCAACGTACTCACACGGAGGCCATTACGCTAAGCGTACAAGGGTGTACACCCCGCGTACACAACTCATACCAAAATTTCAAGATTTTAACTTCAGGGGCCTAGTGAGCAACCAAAACAAACTCAAGGGTTCAAAAGCAAATTTGATAAATCTTAGATGTTACAAAAAAGGCAAAATAAAAATTAAGAACTTAAGGAATTATCATGGTTTAGAGGATCAAAGTGAACTCCATTTCTAAGCTAAAGATAGATATTAAGGAGATTTTAAACCTTATTCCAGGATTTGGAGTCAAAATATTATTTTGGAAAGATGCTTGGTGCGGTAACGAGCCATTTCAAACAAAATTCCCTCATTTGTACTCACTTGAAACGGTAAAATGTTGTCTTTTGGAGGATCGTCTCTCAAGCAATGACTTTTCTTGGATGTGGAGATATGAACCAACAGGCGCAGCAGAACTTAATGAACTTCTTCAAATTTATAAAGAGATCGGTTTGATGAATACAGAGTGCACCTCCACATATGGTTTTAGCTTTTGCTTGAACTCTAAAGGGGATTACACTGTTAACGCTATGAGGAGATTAATAGAATCAAAACTCATTCTATCCAAGGGGCAATCTATCTGTTGGTCCACTATAATTCCTCTGAAAGTTAGATGCTTTGTCTGGAGAGCTTCAATGGGTAGGATTCCAGTGGCGGATGATCTGGCTAGAAGGGGAGTTAATGTAACAAATACGACATGTTCACTATGCAATAAAGAGATTGAAACTGTTGATCATATTCTCATTACATGCGAATATTCTCAGGTGTTATAGGATTGGATTTTCAAATGGTGTGGGATTACTAATATAAGATTTACATCTGTAAGAGAACTCATTGACTTTGCGGCTACTTGGGGGAATTGCCCAAAAAAGAAATCTATCCTAGTTATGGTGATCTATTGCTTCGTTTGGAATATATGGTTGGCCAGAAATGAAAAGACGTTCATGAAGATCAGTGCACCTCCAACAAAAACTGCTGATATCATCATCTCCTTGTCATATATATGGCTTAAATACAGAAGTAATCTCGGTTGCGGTGCATGGGCAGACTGGTGTATTTCGCCTTTTAATCACTTTTCCTCTTAGTTTTTTGTTTTTTTCCCTGTTTTAACTTTCTTATGTTTTTTTCTTTCTGCCTTGTACTGTTACTCAGCCTCGTATAGCTTCTTGCTTTCGAGTGCCTTTTTTTTTAATGCTATCTACCGTTTTCAAAAAAAAGAGGATCAAAGTGATCGACTAATCCATATAGGAAGTAGAGAGAGATTGTTTTTAATAAGCATAATACTCACACATACTTTCTAGTTAGGGCTAAAGAGGTACAATGACAAGTTGAATTAAAAATTACTTGTGCGTCAAACCCAAAACATCATTAGTAGTTCCACAAGTCCCAAAACTTAGACATGCTCATGGAGCACCGCAGACTTGCAGATCGAACACAACATATATTGGCGCATTGAGCATAATTGATATTATGCCGAGTGTCATAGCTAACTTTCATTACTAGAAACGAGGGTAAAAGGAATATCAATCTCCACAAATCAAATCAGCATTCAATTATAACAATGTGGTATCGATATATGAGATGAGGAACACATCTGGGCTCCCACTAGTTGTAATGTAAACAGACGGCTCGACAAATATATAGACAACTAGTTATTTAAATAATGAATTAATTAATAAGTTTATATGAAGAAGGGACCATTTAAATAATGGACAGCTTACTTTTTCGAAAGCAATTGTCTTCTTCATATTCAACATCGTTGGGCATGCTTCACACACATCATATCGTACTCTTTCTCTTTCTTAGTGTAAATTGTTGCATCACTGACCTTCTTCTGTCGAAAAATACTGCGTTATTGACGTGAAACTGTTACTATTTTGCCTAAACATTGTATTTATACATCATTGCCACCTCTCTCAAAACCCCTCTTTTCTTTCTCACCTACTTGTCTTTCACATACAAATTTTATCGTAATGTCGAGCAGAAGGGCAAGGCAATCGTCAACCGGAGCTTCCAAGATCACCGATGATCAGATCATGCAACTTCTCTCAAAGTTGCAGCAACTTCTTCCCGAGATAACAAATCGGCGTTCCAACAAGGTGAGGGTTCTCACTTAATTGATGACTTGGTTGTTCATAACGCCAATGGCCGATTAGAAAACTGTTTGTCTATAAATTAAGTTTAGGCTTTCTCCTATTGTCATTTTATGTTACAAAAACAGCTGGAAACGACTGTGGATACTGTATCTTTGACTGTTCCTATTATTTTAATTTATACTACGGTGCATGTGAAAGTCGATCCTAATCAGAAGTCTTTTCTCGAGTCACATGATCTACAGGATATGACTATACCACAGTACATTCACGTACTCTTCTAACCAAAGTTCAAAAGTGTGTGGGTGTGTGTAGTGTGTGTATTTTCAGTAAAATATATATGGTATTTAAAAATACAGGCGTCGGCTTCGAAGGTGCTACAAGAGACTTGCAACTATGTGAGAAGTTTGCATAGGGAAGTTGACGATCTTAGCGACCGATTGTCGCAGCTATTGTCCACGATTGACGCCGGCAGCCCCGAAGCTGCAATTATCGAAAGTTTAATGATTTGATTTGAATCGACTTTTTCTAATTGCATGAAATAATCCTGTATTTCGGTTAATTAATAATCTGATTGATTCCCTGGGGTTTATAATACCCTTGTGGGAGTTATATATGTATACCGTTTGGAATTATATATATACCGTTTGTACTTACAAATTATAGACTTTTATATTATATAGGTTTAATTTTATAAAAGGGAAAATGACATATACGCCCTATGAACTTTTTAGGGTTTACTTTTTTAGCCACTTAACTTTTTAAGTGGGCTTTATGAGGGAACAAATTTAGTTTTGTCGGGTCGAATAGGTCATTTTTGACAAAACGAAGGGGTAACCCCGTTACCCCTATGCCAACTCACTTAATTGATGTAATTATTTATTTGTTTATTATATAGAAAATGACACCTCTCCCTCTCTCTCTCACACACAAACACACAGTGACACGGATCCTTCTTTTGGGTTGTCTTCTCTATATATCCCCAAATCAACATAAGAAATCGATTTATCCACTAATTCTTTGGTGAGAGCTATGGATTTGTTTTCGTTCGCCCCAAATCACCAAAAGAAAACCTGTTGCAGAAGCAATTTGGTGAAGAGGTTAAACAACATGTTCTCGCAAGCTACTATGCAAAACCGCCTTGCCTCCTCTGTGAGTTCATCCTCATCTCCAAGTTATCCGGTCACCTTTCAATATCCAATTCAGAATTAGCCCAGTTGTTTGCCTTGATGTCATTCGAGTGTACGATACAACAGAATGAGAAAACCCCTTTTGACGACGTCCCAATAGTGGCAGCCACCGTTGAATTAGGCTTCCCCTTCTTCCCTCTAAGCCAAATCTTTGGCACTGAAAAGATTTCCCTCTTCCTTCTTCCCAACAAACCCTCGGTCTCCCCCTACAGTGCTCCTCAACCCAACGGTGGATACCCACAGGCACAGGGTGGATACGACAGCCCGTTTGCGATCTTCTGTCATCAACGTTTCCTCCAGGAACAGATCTGAACTTGATGGCGTGTATCCAGGTCGCCGATTAGGACGGAAGTGGAGTAATTTATGATAATGAATTGTAGAGGGCATTGTCTTCGTACAATCAAAGTTTCAGCAATATGCGTATTGTTCATCTTCTTATGTATACCTTCACCAACACTAACACTAGAAAGATTGGTAAATCTCTCTATCTCTCTCTCTCTCTATAGACTTTCACTATTGTAGCACGATTAATGGAATTGGAAAATGAATTCGATTCATTGAAGTTATTTTGAGTTGATTCTTATGTAGATTTCATGATTTTTTTCCAGAAATTCGTACGTTGAATTTTAATCAGCAACTCTAGTTGACATTTACTCATCGAAGTCAAACAAATTGCAGGGTTAACGTTTTCTTCAGAAGTTCTTAGCGGTGGTGTGTTTGATGAATTGTTTAGGGAAAAAGTTTTTTCTTGTAAACGAGTGAAACAGAGGATATGGTGTGTGTTTGTGTGTTTATGTGTTCCATTCAACAATTCCTTAACTTTGACTATGGTAGCTGACATTGTGAACTTTACAAGCCAGGTCATCTTCAATTGCTTATTTGGTAGATAGAATCGGTTATTTCAGGTTAAGATGATCAAAAAGACAGGTCGCTTCATAATTTATTCCCTCATAAAGCCACTTAAAAAGTTAAGTGACTAAAAAGGTAAACCCTAGAAAGTTCATAGTGCGTATGTGTCATTTTCCCTTTATAAAATCAATTTGAGTTTTGTATTTTTATTTTTAGGAAATTACTAATCTAACCAAATTCATTAATGACTTATCACTTTTTAGCCAAAATTTAGGACTTATTATAAAATAGACATCGAAACCGTTAGGTGGTTAAAATGGTCTACTGTTTCGCCCAAATTACCTACTGTTTTGATTTTAGTATATAAAGATTTTTTTTTCATTTTTCATTACGAAACCGTAGACTAAAAAATGGTCTACTGTTTTATCTGAAAAGTCTACTGTTTTCCAAAGAGTAGATTAAAAACGATGTACTGTTCCGTCTAAAAACCTACGGTTTTGGGTTTTTTTTTTGGTATTTTGACTACTAATTCATGTATTTTACTACTATATCGTACCTAGTATATATTAAAAGACAAATCTATTTTAAAGTAAAAGTTAGTGTTTTTTTTTCATCTTAAAAAAAAAAAAAAAAAAAAAAAAAAAAAAAAAAAAAAACCGGTAGGTTTTGGACAAAATAGTAGACCATTTTTAACCTACTTTTTGGGAAACAGTAGACTTCTCAAAGGAAACAGTAAATCATTTTTTCGTCTACGGTTTCATAATGTAAAATGAAAAAAAATAAAAAATCTATATATACTAAAATCAAAACAGTAGGTAAATTGGCGAAACAGTATGCCATTTTAACCACCTACGGTTTCGATGGCTATTTTGTAATAAGTCCTAAATTTTGGCTAAAAAGTGATAATTGATTAATGAATTTGGTTAGATTAGCAATTTCCCCTTTTATCTTTTCGTTCATTTTAAATCAGGCAATATCTTAATTAGTTAACTTAAAAGCATGAAATCATATTGAAAAAATGAAACTTTTTATCGTCGCATTCTGTTAAGATAATTTCAGTAAATATACTATTAAATGGGGTTTTTTTTTCCGTAATTAGAAATTATTTTTTGTTATTTTAGAAAGATAGTAATAAAATATCTATGGTAGACAGGTAGAGGTGCCATTCTTTCATATATAACTAATGTTTCTAAAAAAGTTGATATGGCCTACAAGAATGGAAGTTGTATGTACAACCAAATATCTAATATACTTTTAATTTATAACGCTTAAATTTAATAAATTAATTGCTCCTACTGGGTTTGTTGCAGTGTGTTTATCCTAAAAAATAATTTAACACAAAGTTGAAAGTTTGGTCTGTGTAGCGTATCAAAAATTAGATGTTTGATTCAAAAGGTTTTTAGGTTAAACCAAAAGTCAAAAATGCAATTGTTATTGTAGTTTTTGGTCCCTAAAGGAATTTAAAGAAGTTCGAATGACTGTTTTGCACTTTTTAACTGTATTTATTATTATTGTTATTATTATTTATTTGATTTATTTTTTTAAATGAAAAATAAAATAAAAAGTCATAACCCCACCCTCTACTTTCCAACATATCTCTCTCTCTCTCTCTCTCTTTGTGTGTGTGTGTGTAACGTCCGGTTCCTAGTATGTATTTTAAATCAATTTACTCATTTTTGTACAGGGACTCGACGAGTTGGAGGCCCCAAACTCGTCGAGTAGGGATGAAATTCGGATGCAGGATTTAAAGCCTACTCGATGAGTTGAGAGCCTCAAGTCGACGAGTAGGGCTGCCAAAGTGAAACCCTAATTTTCAAGGTTTAGCACCCTATTTAAACACCTTAACCTCCAAAGGTTGGCCTCATTTACAGCCTCCATCATCCCAAACCCTAGCCACGAAACACTAATCCACTTGTGAGAGTTTTTGAGCCATTTTGTGCATTCTTGGTGATTCTTGAAGAAGAAGACACTTGAAGAAGGAGCAAGGAAGGATTGGAGAAGAGTAGATCCAGAAGTCTAGCTTTATTTCTGGTTCATTGGAGGTATAAAGCTCCTATCTTGTCTATAATATGCTTAGATCTCGTTATCTTCACTTTTATGGGATTTTTGGTTCAAGAAGCATGACCTTTGGGAAATGGACGTCCCAAGTGAGTATGTCATCAGATCTGGAACCATGGAGGGCTATCATGACATAAAGGTGCAAATTTCCAGGGTTTAGCACCCTATTTAAACATCTTAACCTCCAAAGGTTGGCCTCATTTACAGCTTCCATCATCCCAAACCCTATTTGAGCTATTTTGTGCATTCGTGGTGATTCTTGAAGAAGAAGACACTTGAAGGAGCAAGGAAGGATTAGAGAAGAGTAGATCCAGAAGTCTAGCTTCATTTCTGGTTCATTGGAGGTATAAAGCTCCTATCTTGTCTATAATATGCTTAGATCTCTTTATCTTCACTTTTTTGGGATTTTTGGTTCAAGAAGCATGACCTTTGGGAAATGGACGTCCCAAGTGAGTATGTCATCCGATCTGGAACCATGGAGGGCTATCATGACATAAAGGTGCAAACTTTATGGCCATTGAAGCCCCATGCAAGCTATAGGATGTCATTTTGGCCTTTTAAGCTCCAAAAGGCCATGCATGGAGAGAAATGTGGAGACTTTGCGTTTTCATTTAGTCTCTCAGGTCCAGATCTCTATTTGTGCACCCTATCTTAAAGTATTGAAGGCTTGTGGACCAAGATCTAGGTCGTTAAGAGTTAGGGTTTGAGCTATATATCTTAAGGAAGAGTACTAACGGGTAAAGGTGGAACCTTTACCCTTAAAAGGACATGTTCAGTATGCATTGGAAGTGTGGAACTTAGATCTGAGGGATAAGGACTTAATCCCTTAAGATGGCTTAACAGACTGAAGAACTCATCAAGTCCATACAGGAACTCGACGAGTTGGGTCGAAGTGCCGCGACTCTGTAAAGGGCAAAACTCGACGAGTTCAAGCATGACTCGACGAGTCAACTGGGGAAGTCTCGATTCTGTAGATAGGAGGAAATCGACGAGTTGTGAAAGAACTCGACGAGTTGGATCGCGATTTCATGGTTTATGATTCATGGAACTCGACGAGTTGATGGACCAACTCGGCGAGTTGAGTCAACTCATGATGTTGACTTTGACCAGAAGGCTGACTTTGACCAGGGTGTTGACTGTGACTTTTGTTTGGTTTTTATTCAAAAATCCGGTTTCACAACCGGTAAAATTGACAACAGAAGCTTTAAAAATGTTGAATAAAACTAAAACTATTTTACCCACCAAGGATCATTTTGCGAGAGTTAGAAAGATTAAAACAACCATAGAAGGGAAAGCATAACAACCTTTGAAGACTTTGATCCTCATGGGAGGTTGGAAGTTGATGAAGTGTGGCATGAAACTCTAAAGCAAGAGTTCTCTACAAGTATCCACCAAGCAAGAGTAGAACCATCAAAACATGCAAGTATTCACTTGTAATTTGTTGTTCATAAGTCTTTGAAATATATACCAAATATATGTTCAAAGGTGAAGCAACAAAATGGACATTCTTTTAACATCAAATGCAAGAGAATGCATGAGAAGAAGGATGC